GCAACAGCACCAGCAGGTAAAAATTTCCCCGATCCGTAAAACCGGTAACCCATAACAGCAGTCAGCAAGCCACTGGTCACTGTAATTTTTTAAAGTAACCGTTCGAAATTACTACAACTGGATCTAAGTAACAAACCAATGACCAGTTAAAACAATGAAGTGACAATAATGAGGGCAAAATCAGTGGTTCTGTCAACTTTTGCAATGATAGAACTGAAAAACTGCACGAAAGGCATTGTAAGCAAAAACGAATTTACAAACTGAGAACTTACTTAGCAGCAGCCCGTGACTGTTAAAATATGATGCAAAAGTAGCACAGCTTCCAAAAACTATACCAGACACCAACGACATTGAGCTCCCTAATCAGAAAAACTTACATTTGCTTGATAAAACAAGATATAACAAGCGAATAACTAGGATTTAATGAAATTAGTACCAAAATTAGTTATTCATGGAATATAAGGAGAAAAGTATAACCAACCAGCTTTCACATATCCGACGACCCCTCCAAAAATCACAAATCCTGCGTAGATCAATCCAACCAAGTCTGCCATACAGAAGACGATCGGAACAGAGAATAACGAACAAACAAAAAAAAATAAAACCTGCAAAAACAACAAATGAAAATGCGCATCTGAAGAAAAGCTTAACAGTCACGCTAGATTTCATCCACAACACTTCCCGTTCGCGAGACGCACAAAGTTCCCGCGTCTGGCCGAATGCCAACAGTGCATCGCACGGCCCTTGCCGGTATCTGAACTCATTGGTTCCGGATGTCCGAAGGTTAGTTGACATATAAATAAAATCGCCTGAATTTTTCAGAATCCTCATGAGATACCTCTCTTACTTTCAAGATGGAAAAACAAAGTTTTTCACGAATTCCTGAGGTGAGATTCCTTGAGTCACTTTGCAAATTCTTCAGAAGTCTGATTTTGGTGTAAAGGAAGTCAAGTTTTCTTACTTTGTAGAATCTTCAGCCCAAGTGGGCCGTACTCTTTGCCTCTGACATTGGTGTGCTGCTTTATTTCTACACAGGTACCGTTCCCTTTCTCATGAAATTCCATGTATAGTCTCATTAGAGCAGTACTGCTTACAATGATGGTCCGAACCTTTTGGATTTCCGAAGGAAGCGGTAGTGCATGGCTAACAATTACTCAGCAGCTTATGAATTCGCATAACATGCGTCTTTCCACTTTTTAGTCGAAAAATTAATACCGTTTTCAGTTTCTCAGTACGGCTGATCCTTTTCGAAAATCAGTCTATAACTGCTTGAAACCATCACTCTGAGAAGACTGAAAATTTTTATTTTTTGAAGTCAGTGACCATACAGTGCCGTACGAGTTAAAAGAAAAAGAGAAACAGTGTATAGCGCAAAATGTTGAGGAATGGAGAAGTTTAGCGGCATTTAGTGATTTGAGGACTCCAACACTTACAGATTCCCCTATGGAAAATAAACAATTTTCTTTTAAAACTACTAAAGTTCGACAGTATTAAAAAAGTTATTTTTAGCTTCAAAGCCAAAAAGCTTAGAATATGCGGTCTTAGAAAGCAATGAATGAATTTGAGCTCCGCGCAATCAACCGATTAGGAAATTATATGTCCCTATACACAGTAAAGGGGAACACACGAAAGGCGAAAAGATTTTGGTTTGTTTGTTTTGATGAAGCAGACACGACAGTCTTGTCAGTTGCAGTGTCAGAACTGCTGTAACTTTTTCAGTAGAATGAAAAAACCAAGCCTACATAGCTGACGAAACAGCACTTTGCTTAGCATTTGTTACTGAAAATTTAACAGATTTCATATGACATAATCGGTAACATTCAGGCAGTTACAGATTATCAAACAGCCGTGACCCTAAAACATCTAAAGCGGAAAGATTGAAAAAGTCTAAAAATTTGTTTGAATTTTTCTGTCCTGGTGTTGCTTTTTACACCCTGTCACACTGCTGCTACAAGACAGTTAGCAATTTGGATATTAACTGTTTGAAAATAGAATTATTAGCCTAGCAGTTTTTTCAAAAAATATTTCGTGCTTCAGCAAAAGACTTTGTATCATTCGAATTCTAAAAATTGACACAAACATTGAGTGCATTAAAAAAAGTCTAAATTGCAGGCGAAATACGTGAATGCCCTAATTAAAAATCACTGTAATATCTCCTCTTATGTCTCATATTTTTATGCGTATTCTGTTTGCCTGTCTGTTACTTATTCTTTTTGCACTCACCAGCACCCGTAAATATTGAAAAAACCATGCCATTATTACTTTCGCATTTTTTCCATTGCCAAATGTTTTCTGTCTACAAATCGTTCGCAGATAACTTGGTAACACTTCCTAAATTTTGGAAAATATAATGAAAAATAAAGAAAGCCGTTGTTTTTCCTCCTATTTTCTTTTCTTTGTACTTTTCTTTGTTAGTGTAAAAATTTGTTTACTATTTCAAGAATATCACTGAATGGCTAGAGATAACATATGTCTTAAAAAAACAGCATGAACCTTACAATCCCCTTTGCCTTGATGCTGTCACTGTTGAATTGGACAATATTCAGGCGAGAGATACGGAGAAACAGACAGTTGAAGAAATTTAAAGGTGCAGGGAGAAAGTACAAACTCTAAAAAAGTATGACCAACGTTTGTACTTTCTCCCGCAATTTTTGAGCTTCTTTGACTGTATGTTTCTCCGTCTCTCGCGTCCGAATGTTTTCCTAACCAACAGTAACTACATCGAAAAAAATGACTGAGTTTCGAGGTTATAGTTTGCTTTAAGATATATGCTACCTCCCGTTATTCAGTGATATTCCTTGTATATTGAATAAAGTTCTTCAGTGACAGGCGTGGTGAAGGTAAGAGAGGAGAAGAAAAAACAATGGTTTTCTTCATGCTCTTTCCACATTTGTTAATTTTTCTGGGCTGCCCTGTCTAACATCAGTTTTGGACAGAAATCACTATCTCTGGCCGCCGTAAGAGGCATGAAGAAGAAGACAACAGCGTATATTCTTGTCTTTTTTCCTATATTTACCAGATACTACTTCACTTTGGAAAAACTGTTACGTAGAAATATATATATTCTCTGTTCCGGTCGTCCTTTTGTAAAAGCTTGTAAAATAAAAGGAACGGAGTAATTCAAAGGTTTGATGAGAATTGATAGAGCCGAAAAATTGTACTCTTGTTGATGAAAATAAGAACTTATCACTACCACTCTTCTTTTTTGTGGCTCTTGCTTGGACCGTTACTGTTCCTGCATTTTGATCGCAGATCTTAAACCCAAAAGTTTGCTCTGTCATTTGGTCAAACCTTTACTGCGCTTAATATAAAACTTTATTACAGCAAATTAATTGTGCGTAACAGCATTTAATTTTGATCGACTTTGAAAACGTCTTTTTAAACTTACTCTCAGCACAAGGAACGTTTGTTTGACTTCACCAAATAATTAATACGTAAGTTGTCAAAACAGTGCGTAAATTTTTAGGATCCTGTAGTACTGTTCTTATTTCAGCTCGGTACGATCAGCTTAACCGTACTGTATGTTTCCACACCTGATCTGAAAAAAGTTTTTTGAAACTCTTCCGTGCAACTGACTGCTCTTGCTGATATCGGCGCTTACAATGATATCTTTTATTGTGTTTCATGAAGTCCTAGTAAGAAAATTGTTTAAACCGTTGAACCACCAATTTTTTTCAGAAATTGACGCTGCGGGACATTATAACTCAGTCAAACAAACTTTATTGAATATTTTAATACAAATACTTTCTAGCAGTATTAAGCACCTCAGATGGCAAAGAGTTCAGCATATAGTTAGAAGTGCTTATTTGCCACTTTCATGAGTGAAATACACATATTTTGTATCACCAGAAAACCTGTTAATCGTTAAAGAAGTATTTCAGAAACGAAGTTAAGAGGCTGGTAAATTAGTTAATGTTGATTCTTAGTAATGCTGTTCTGTTTCTATTCTGTACATTAAACACTTTATAAAATGAAAAAGACGGAAAAGCGCGGCGGAAAAACAAATATGACTAACGAACTTTTAAACAACTTCACGAAAAAAATTTTGGATGGTAACCTTATAAAGATATCATCTTCATTCATAATTTGAAAACGATCATTAACAAGTGGAAATGTATGACTTGGTAAGAACTAGGTCTGAAAAACAACTCCGTTGTTCTGTTTTGGGCCTTTCTTTCAATTTTCTAAAAAAGTATTTATTATTAGACAGACCTTGAAATTTTATTATTCTCACAGTATTATATGCATTATCTGTAAACGAGAAACATTACAATATTAATTTGAAAAAATTCCAGATTTATAGGAAAAACTACGAGCACAATTCTGTAAACACCATGATTATTATTAACTATTAACCTAAAACTCAGAAAAAACGAAGAATTTAGAGCTTTTACATCGTGACTTTTAAGATTTGATTTTCTACTTCAGCGTCGCCATCAAAGGGGCATTTGAAAGTGGGTACGACGAATAATTTTTCAAAAGGTATCTAAATGATTAAAACACAAAACTTATGCTTAAACAAAATGTGACCCTTTCTTCTTGGTTTTATTTCCAGTCAACAACTACTGCAAAAAAAAAAAAATAAAATAAAATAAAAATAAATGTAATTTTGTGGAATGTTCGGAAAAATTTTAGTCCTTCACTAATTTTCCTATAAAATTACATTTAAAACAACGTCAGCAAAGAGTCTCATAACCGCAAAATACATAATATTTAAGGGAAAAAACTTCGTAAACATCACCATGCAACAAAATTCAATGCAATTTCTCTCTAGAAAAGATTTTCCGAAATTTTACAAATAATTTATTTACGTTAAAAACGACTTATTTTCTATGCTTTTACAGTTTATTTCTCCAAACAGCACTTACTGTTGAAATTTTTGTTTTTTTAATTTTTTTAAAAGATGTTGTAAATTGAACAAAGCGACAACCTGGTGACACATAAAGACGATTCCTGTGATAAGAAGCTCAACTGAATAAATGTTCAGGAGCATCCGTTGCAAGTAATTTGAAGAAACATGTAACTTTCCGGAATTCCAACACTTTGATACACAGTGACGAAATAGACCAAAAAAATTTTCTTTTTATCATACTGTTGTTACTACTACAATAATGTGTTGAATTGAACTCACTTTTAAACATGATATTAAAACTTGCGGTAAATGGGTGAAACACCAAGCGAAACTCCACAATCAAAAGGTACTTCAATTCATTTAACCGTCCAGCCATTGTGGCAAAAAAATTTTGTTACATATTCAGCTCAACATTCTCGCCAAACTTAGGAATATAAAAATCTAAAAAAAGTGACTATTGAGTAATTGTATTTATTACCATTCTTTACAGTTTTTCTCTTACGACTCTCTTCCAGGTTGTGTCGAGTTATACTGCTCAAATTTTTACCCTCACTCTAAGTGTTTGAATGTTTTCATAGTTGTGAATGCTTATTGTTTTTCTTTATTCTTCGATTGCCGCTTGACATTGTTCAATTTATTAATTGTTCCTTTTCCTGACTAGAATTTGAGAATTTTACTGACCAGTAAAGTCTCCACTCTTGTCTGGGATTATGATTCAGCCCAGTATTCAGAACCAATAGAAGAAACCCTGAGCAAATAAATAAGAGAAGTCAAGAAGACCTAATCGCGACAAGAAATTGAGGTCTTTCAACATTTAGATAAGATTAGGGATCCTTTACAAATAGGGACAATGTTGAGTGAGTTAACTATACGCTTATTGATTGAATTAAAAAGGTACGGTAAGAAAAGAGGGTCTGGTAGAAGCTTTATAAGAACTCCACTC